GAATGCTGGTCTTCTCAAAGAGACATTGGTTTGAAGTTGTTTTCAGCATCAGATCAGACAAGGCAGAAGTGATCCGCGCTCCAGATGGTGCCACAGGCCAAGGGAATCTGTGAATTTGGTTGACCTGCCGTCTTTAATGCAGCTGTTACCTCGAATCATCTAGTTTTAGATTTTTGCATTGATAATCCTAAGTGTTCACGAAACCTGCTGGTTCAGAGGATGAGAGTTTGAATTTTAAAGGAGCATTACTAATAAATGTGACAGGAAGTCATCGCTGCTCCATCCATCCATTTTCCTCCGCTTATCCGGGAGGCTTTGGGGCTCATGTAGAATATTTTACATTGTTTACAACTAGGGCTGCAATTAATTACTTTATCAGTTAATCAGTTGATTATTGCAGGTCTCTCAAATGAGAAACTAAGTTCATTATTTCTGAATTGAAAATATTCTGCAGAGGTTCCTGACTGTCTTAATGTTTTTCGCAAATCATTCATTTGTTGCTTCTCTGGAAAATCTGAGTTTTTAATGCATACTTTGAAAAAGGATAATCAGCATTTGTGTCTGTCAGCTGCAGTCGTGATGAGTCAGAGTACAAATATTTGTTTCGTTAAAATAATTTTATAAAATGAAGACAGAAATAAATGCAATGCTAAATATTAAAGTGCAGTTATTAATATTAAAATCTGTTGTTTTCATTACCATTGACAAATTTCCTATTTTTCCCTTCTCCGTTTCTCAGTCTGGTCTGTGTGGTTTTTCACAATATTCCATCTTATCCCCAGAATTCCTCAAGTCTCCTCTCTCTTGTTTTGCTGTCAGCTTAGTCTTTTTTTTTGTCTATCTGGTTGGCCACAAATTGTTTAACTCCTGCAATATTAGTTTTTTAAATTTATTTCCACTTAGAAAAAGAAAAGCTAAATAGCATTAAGCTAAGTTTGGACTAGGTCAAGTCTCATAGTCCTGACATGCCTCCTTTCTGTGGTGTTTTTAACAACGTAGTTTTTTTTTTCCTCTTTGTAAATAAGAAGGGATGATTAGTGGGTATTTATCCTGCACACAACACAGGAAGGTGTGACATAGCATATTAACAGAATTTTAAAAGACAGCGGAATGCAAATTCAAGTCAGCGTTTTATCCTTGTGACGGTCGGTTGAATCCTGGATGTGTCCAGGTGATGGTACAGATTTCCTAAAACCTCACTGAACCTTGTCTCGATAGGAGGGGAAACTAGTGGCTGAACCCCATTAAAGCAGTGGTTTGTTTAAGTGTTTGACAGTTGAAATAGTGACACCTGTTGGTCAAAGCTTTGCGTCGCAAATCTCATTGCTGTAATCCTTGTTTTGTTCAATAAAAATCATTTTATAAACTGATCACTTGTGTGGCTTTTAGAGGGATAACTAATGACTGAAGTGATTAAGATTTTAACCCCCATAAAGCATTAGAATATCACCACACACTATATAGTACAACGTGAAACCAATGCAATGTGCTTTTTCCTTCTCAAAGTCATCACAAGAGTGTCACTATCCTCACAGTGCAGATCTGCAATAATCAGTTTGTCAAAGTAGCATCAAAGCAGACACAATACTCACACTTGCAAAATGCAGTGATCATGGTTGTAAGAGGAAACCGTGACAACACCATTCTGCTTCATATGAAATTAAGTGTCACCCTATTGGGTAACAATAGGTTGTGCACAAGTCTACCTATATAATGTGTAGTTCTGGCTTTTAAACTGCCAGGTCACACTGTTAACGTGACAGAATATCCAGTTCATTAAGTAGTTTTCTAGTAGCAAGACCGGCATGACGAAAGATCAGCTGCTTGACGAAAAAGTCTCACCTTTCAAATATCAACATTCAGGTCTCATGTTATTTCAAAGACTTATTTCTGATCACAGCTGTTATGTGAGCTTTAAACTCTTGATTAGGAATCACTTTCACTGCATCTACAATGCTCTATTTCTCCATAAGGAGAGATTATTAAACCGTAAGGCTAAACAAGCATAAGCAGCAGATAAATACAAAGCACTCGGATTAATACTCGTAGAAAACCAAATAGTATTGCTGTTGTGCAAATCCAGACCACAATGGACCAGACTTGACAGATCCGGACTAGAGTAACTCGGAGGGAGCTTAGCTCTGCATGTCAGGGTATACAATAACATACAAAAACCTACATGGTCAACACCTTTGAAATACAACTTTTCCATCAGGCAGAAGTGGAGAGAGAGCTGTGTGATTTCCGAGGTGTTGAAGTCCACCACTGATGCATCTTTCCATGATACCGGTGCATTAAATGTCAGTGCTGTGTCAGGCAGCCTGGTTCCAGCGCAAACACGCCCAGGGAGGACAGCTGTGCTCCCAACACCTTTTGTGCGGTTTGACTGTACACGCAATAAATGAAGTTGCTAAAAGACACAGACCACACTGCTGACAATAATACAAAATTGTTCTTTTAATAGAAAACCCCTCTGACTCAACTCAAAAGTTCACAACTTTAAGCTGGTTTTACATAATTGTTGAAGAAAAGTCTTGTTTTCTTGACATAGCTCCTCACATCATGTGCAAAATGCTGCTGGTCTCATGTGAACAAACAAAAAATGCTTCACATCTACAGCGGGCTCTACTGGAAACAAAAAGTGCTCTGTGTGTCACGTATGAGCCCGAACAGCTCCGAGTACCTGTGGGGTTCTGCATGTGGATGTGTCACCATCAGGCTCCTGACTGATGGAAAGCTTTTACAGAGCATGACCACAATATGAAGAGTTACATAATTTTCCCATCAAACCTCAAAATGCTTCTGCATGACTTATAACAGCAGGCCACATCTGGAGGCTCATACTGCATACAGTATGTTCAAAGCAGATATGCTTTCACAAGAGCTATGAAACGAGAGTGGAGGAATATGCAGCAAATTCATCCCCTTTGGTTTGTAAACTAAGAAACTAACTAAACCTCCTGCATGATGTTCAGGATACCAAACAATCATATTCAAAAGTTGATTACACAGTCTCTCAGAGTTTTATGTACATACATAACAGGTGCAGTGGACAGGCACAGCAACGTCAAGGAAAAACAAACCAAATCCCAGGTGAGAAATGACAAAGTTCAATAAATAAAGAGTAACTTGTTCGGCTCTGTGCCATTTTACACTCAGCCGCCTATGAAGGTGTGTGTGACCAGTGGTCCAAGAACCCACAATGACAATGAAGACACCAGAAGCAGTGTGCAGACAAACGTAGCTGCACTCAGTAATTCTATCCAATAACTATGCTGTGGACTAACAGTGACTGAACCCGCAGCCTATATTAGACAGAGCCAGTGACTAACACAGGGTGACAGACCAGATTTTGAAAAAGGTGGCAGCATTTCTCGGAGCCTTTGGGGTAAGCCAAGCATGGTCGACCTGTCGAAACAAATTTGGTGGTGAATTTCAAAGGAGGCAGAACATGAGCACAGCAGAGCTGCATGATAAGGAGCACTGCAGGAAAACACCGTTTCAAACATGCATACTGGCGCTGGTGAGTGCTAGCAGTAGAGAATGGCGCACGAAAAGAGCCAAGATGCATCAAAATGACCAAGTGTTTGAGGAATAAAAAGATCTAGCACCATCAGAACTGAACTGAAAATATGGATCCATGCAGACTACTGTCCCAGGTCCGACTTGGTTTTTGAATCCTCATGTAAACAGCATTAACTTAGTTACAGAAATGTACCCTCAAGTTTGGTGTCGTCGTAGCATGTAAACACCTGACCCAGGACTCCGAGTGTGTTTGTATTCAACTTTAGTACAATAAATTTCAATGTTTGCTGGCGAGCAGATGGAGAATTCTAATCCTGTAAAGAGTGAAAGTGTGACAGAGTTGAGGGAGCCAGAAACTAAAGTGGAGTCATGTTGAGTGTTGCGCTTCAGAACAGGAGCTGCAAGTGCAGCGATGACAGAGACTACAGAGATTACAGAGATACCAAGACACCAGAACAGAGATCCGGAGATCAAAG